ACACACACACACACACACATAAACTCGAACACGAACGCGCGGCCTATCTTTCATTAATCATGAGCCTCTGTACCTCTCCACCTGGGCATACCGGTGTTGTACCGTGTCGATATTGTGTAGATCAATGAAGTCACAGGTGTTGTTAGCCCCTTGGGGATAGCTTCTCTCGCGCCCGTCAGTTGTGCAATGGAAACTGTGCGCTTGTTGACCACTTTGGTTCTCCTCGCCTCCTTATAGCGGTTCGGAGTTTGTTTAACGAGAGGACCCCGACCACCGTCCACTCACACTCACGCGCCATCCAACAAATTCTCCCAGGTCTTCGGCGTCTGTTGAGCGCCGCCATGGCGTTTTGTGGTTCCTTTTCGCACTTTTCGGTGATCATCTTCGCGAGTATTGACGTTATCGTTTGGAGGTGATTGTGCAGAGATTTCGCAGTGTGTCGAAATGGGACAAGTTATGCCCCGGTACTGCTCGCAGTACGAGCGGATTCTAGGATATGCAGAGGTACAGTTGTGGTTGTCTGACCTGCAGGCACCAAAAAAGAAAAGAAAATACAAATAATGTGCGGGTGGTTGGCGGGTGCTCTGGTGTGGTTTGCTTCCTTTCTACTATGAAACATCTATCGTCCTTGCTCCCCTCCTTTTTTGTTTGTTTCTCTCTTGTGACACCTCTAATTAATTTTTGGCACTTATATGAACATATTGTGTTGCAAGTGCCGTTAAACTCTTACTAGAACAGAACAGACGTTGTTCTTGTTGTTGTGTTGTTGTTGTTTTGCTGGAGTTTGTACTTTTAGTTCTTTCCGTTCTTTTAGTAGTGTCTGTTTGAAGTGCTTTCGCAATGCTCTAACCGGCTGTCATTCTGTCTTTGTGCCTCATATTATTGCTGTTGTTCTTGTTATTGTTGTTTCCTTGGGTTGTTGGTTTTTTTTTTCCAAATTCATTTCTAGGAATGATGACAAACCAGGGAAATGCTGGTGTAATAAAGACGAGTTGCCCCTTGCTGTGCTGGGAATTAGTGTGCGCGCGCATGTGTGTATTTGCGTGCCCACGTGTTTCTGCGCACGCGAGTGAATGTGTGTGTGTGTGTGTATGTATGTATGTGTGTGTGTGTGCGTTCGTGCGTGTATGTGTGTGTGTGTGTGTGTGTGTGTG